ACTTTGGAGGAATTTTAAGGGAGTTAAGCGTGCTGGCCATGGAGTAGCAGAAATGATGGGTGACCCCCTGGGAAGTGTTTGCAGATTTATGGGGCTGGGCTTTAGATTGGGCTTTCATTGGGCTTCTTATAGTGGGATATCTGCCTCGGGTGTTTAACGGGCCCCGGGGCGGTCACGAGATTAACGGGCCTCGGGTCCCCTGCTTGTAACTGACCGTTCCAATAAAATTTATATATATATATATATATAGATTTTGGTTCTGGTGAGAATGCGATCTTAGGAGAGAAATGAGAATGAATCTGGTGCTTTAGATTGTGAGATCTAAGGGTCAGGATTGCATCAAAATTAGATGCACCAAAATGGTTTAAAAATGCATCACGTCAAAATGCATCAAAATCCTTCGAAAATGCACTATCTGGAAATCTGAGCGCAGGATGCAATCTGAGCCGCACGATGCATCAGATCCAACGGCTAGATTTTATTCTCATTTCTCTCCACAAGGTCCATTCTCACAGGAACCGGCCCCTATATATATATATATATATATATATATATATATATATATATATATATATATATATATATATATATATATATAACTTTACATTTTCAAAAATGTTTGAACCACTGATTCAACCATTCGGATTACTGGGTTGACCAGTGAATCAGTGAACCAGTATCTTGACCAGTTCAATGCCGGTCCAGTTCTGAAAACTATGCTTTCACACATTTGTTCATTTTGAATCAACAAAATATTTATTTTTAGACATTTATTCATTTAAAAACAACATTAGTTCATTATAATTATACACTGTTAATTTGAAAACACCAAAATGTTCATTGCAGTTATTAAATATTCATCTTGTTCACACCGTTGCTCGCAATACCTTGTTTCAAACACCGACGATAATAGTTCCCCCCCACCTCTCCCCACCTAACGGCGTAGACAACAGTACCCCCGTCACCTCAATCGTAGTAGGGCAAAAATTCTAGGGTTTAGTTGCCATCATTGCCTCTGTCGTCGTTGGGTGAGGTCGCCACCCCAAATACTTCTCTTCGTTGCACCTATTCTGCCACACCAATCTAGAGTTGCGATAATGGATGAACTATTGCCAATCGATTGTCAATTAGCTCTCTATTCTTGCACTCCATTTCACAATTGGTTGTACCTATCTTGATTGTACACAAAAATGGGTCTTAGTTGTCCCCAAAGATGGGCCGGGTACAATCGGTTGTTCAATAGATCTTATAGAATTAGATAATTAGTTATCAAACATTATCTACTTTACATAAGGAATTTAATAGAAATAATAAAATAATATACATACCTTTCTATGTAGATGAAAACTCGCACAGGAAAGGATGAAAGCCTCGGTGTGAAATCTAAAAAAATAGAGTAATGCAGCGGTGGAGTAATCTAGTGTAAAAAAAGAAAAAAAATACTACAAGCTGATGCCTCAGACTAGGGGTGGGTTCGATTTTAGCGTTTCAGTTTCCACCTAAAACTAAAGACAAAATGAAAGATAAGTTAATGGTTTAGTTCAGTTTCGTACCAAAATATATAAATATTGGTTATTTAATTTGATTGATTTTTAAAAATAAGAAGTTATAAGCATTAAAAAATCTATAACAACACTAACTCGATGAAGCAGTATTAATATGTAGGGCTAGGTTTGGTTTTTACTGAAACCAAAAACGAAACAAAATTTAAAGTTCGATTTGGTTCTATGTGTAAAAATTATGTTTCGAGTGTCCGACAAACGTCTAGGAGATTCCAAATGCTCCCAATGTCTCCGCCTGTAAGTATCAATTACAGAGTATTTTCTTTTTTGGTAAAATACTTTGATTTTCATTATACCATCAAAGTTTTTCATGTAAATATGTAAATTACTTGTATAGTTTCTTATGTTAGTAACTTAGTATAACTCCGTATTATGATTACTTATTAGCATTTATACTCTTAAATTTCTCTGAGTAATTTCTCTAAATAGTCCTTTATAATCGAGGTTTTCTGTATTTAGTTTATATTTGTTAAATATTATGTTGACAGTCCTTATTAATTGGCATCATTCCACGTTTGATCCTTAGTCTATTTTTACATCTCCGTGCCGTTAGACAAAGACTAAACGTTGAATGGTACCCAATCAATAAAGACCGCAAACATAATATTTAATAAATATGGGTTAAATATGAAAAATACCTTGTTACAAAGGACTACTTAGAGAATTAGTTCTTTTTAAACCACTTTTAGTATAGGAATTAACAAACATGAAAAATGCACGATTGTACTTTATTTATAAAAAGTGAAAATTTATACACCATAAAAAAATCTTAACTAAAAAAATTTATTTTTTAATAGGAGAATCAATTTGGAATAGATAGAAATTAAGGGTCCATTTCGAAATCTAGAAAATGACTTCTGCAAGTCATTTTCCAGATTTTCCGTTGTTTGGCTATGTAGGAAAATGATGGTCAATGGAATTGATTCTTATGGTCAAAGGAAAATCTCATCTCATATCCGGAAATTGACTTCCGGTTTAATAATTGGGAAGTCATTTTCCTCCTATCATTCTCTTCGTCTTTCTAATTATCCACGCTCTCATTCTCTTCCGCCTCTCATTTCTCTCATCACTTCATCTTCTCTCAATTACATTGCCTGAACCGCATCATGTTCTTGCCCCCATTCCTCGAAAGTGTACCGGTGACATATAAAATTTATTTTGAGAAACAAGATATTGTTGCCTAACATGTTTTGAAAATGAGATGTTCAAGTTTTAAGTCCTGCTCTAAAATTCTAAGTTTTTTCAAAATAAAAATCTAGAAGTTCCAATGAGTTTACTTGAAATTCCAATGTACATTTTGGAATTTTTGTATGTTCAAAAAATTCGATTTGCTAAAGACAAACACTTGAATTGACATGTTGTGTTTACAAAGTTTACCAATTTGAGTATATTCTGTGTATATAATATTGGCTCTATCATAATCATGTTTTTAATGATACATATGTGTAGTAACATGGGTAAGGGAAGTACTACAGTTGCGACTTCTAAACAATTCAGATAGTCTAAGCAAATGGAGAGTGTGTTTCTTGAGATTCTAGCAGAGGAAGCTAGGAATCCAAATAACCATACATCTTCTTTTAGGTTTTCATCCTTGAACCGAGTAGCCTCTACCATATCTAAAATGTTCAAAGTGCAATGTGAGCACAAACATGTTGAGAATCACTTGAAAACCATGAAAGGCACTTGGACGATAATATGCATGCTACGAGAAAAGAGTGGCTTTGGGTGGGATGATAATATAAAGATGATCACGTGTGATCGTTCTACTTATGAAGAAGCTGTCATAGTAACATTTTATGTTTTTGTTGCATTTTGTGTTTGCTAAAATGTTCCTTTATATGTACAGTTTTGTTTGAATGTTTATACATATTTGTACATGCACATCCAAAATACGAAATCTTATTGAATAAGAAGATTGATTACTACGATGAGATGGCTTAAGTTGTGGGAACAGATGTTGCTGCAGGAAGATTTGCAAAATCTAATCAAGATGCTGATATGATTGATACAAATGATATTGAAGAGATGACTACAGACACATTGCTCGCATAAAGCTCTGGAGGAAAATCAACTTCATCCAATGTTGGTTCGTCACAAGGAGTGAAGCGTAAAAGAAGGTTAGATGATATAGTGATTGAAGCTTTGGTTGAAGAAATTGGGAATGTTGCAAAGGCTATTGCAAAATTCAACAAGGTGGATGATGATGCAATGTTTGCCAAAGTGATAAGTGTTGGTGAAGGGTATGATGAAAGAGAACTCGGTAAAGCATTTGAATTTCTAATGAGAAATGAGACTGAAGCTAGAATATAATATTCAATGCTAAAAGTGATAACTTGAAGAAGATATGTATCGAGGAGTTTCTATTGAGTCGGCTAGACTAGATTTTATGGGTGTTACGTGTTAGTATTGAGACTATTTTATAATATTTGTATGTTTTATTTTCAGATGTTTTTTTAAGATTGTTATTATGAATGTTTGTTTGAGTTAATGAATGCTTATGTGACATTGTTATTACTATGACTTTGTAAGAAAATTTGCTTTCAATAACATCTTACTCTATGTGCATAGGTGGCGTATTTCTTATTGAATTGATTCTGAATTTGATGTAAAGTCCAAAACAACAAGGTGTGTTTTAAGGACCATGAACGTTAATAATGAAACAGACAATTTTCTGAAAAATGAATCAAACAGAAACAAAACATTTTCAAACTTACAGCCAAACAACCGAAAAAGAAAATGACTTTAGGAGAATAATTCAATTTCCAGAAGTAGGGGTGGACACGGTACGGTTCCGGTACGGTTCCGGTTCCGGAACCGCCGGTTCCGGTACCGCCACCCCATGTCACCGAAAGCGTCACCGTGCCGGCCGGTACCGGTTCCGGTTCCCAGACCGGCGGTTCCTGTACCAGACCGGCCGGTTTCGCCCCCCCCCTATTTTTTTTTTTTTGCTTTTTTTAAAATTTTTAAAGTATAAAATTTTAAATTTGCAATTGTTTAAGGAAAAAAGAAATAAAACTTTTTTTAAAATTTTTAAAGTATAAAATTTTAAATTTGCAATTGTTTAAGGAAAAAATGAAATAAAAAATCTAAAAATGTAGTTGTTATTTAAATATTTTAAATGAATAATACACTAACTGAAGAACAACCACATTTAATATCCTGACGGTTCAAAAAAAGCGACGAGGTAAAGAACCGTAAAGAAACCCTCGAAGAAGCTTATATATCGCTCACCTAAAAAAAACTAATTACATATTTACATTAACATAAAAAAAATTATAACTTATTCTTCAGAACTCGGACTTCTATCTGTTGTTGCATTCATGTAATGCTCCGATTCGAGTTGGTACGTTGACTCTTGAGCTCGACGTCTTGCCAAGAGCCAATCTTGGTTGCAAACAAGTGTTTCAAGAGATTTAGCGCTAAGACAACTTTGAAAGTCGGTTAGAATGTTGCCGCCAGCACTGAATTCTCGTTCAACTGCTACGGTTGATACCGGAACGGATAACACTTGTCTTGCTAGCATGCCGAGACATGGGAACATGTGTTCGTTCCGCTTCCACCATCCGAGCACGTCAAAATCCACTTCGTCCTCATCGTAATCGCATGGCACACCCTGATACATAGCAAGTTCGTTGTGCGAGCTTACTGTTGTACCACTTGAACTCGTCGAAGAATGAGCACGCTTCCCTTTCTTTGCAAGAAGACCACCGACTATTCCGGCAAAACCTTTTTTTGATTTCAGAGGCGGAGGTGGTGCTGTTTCTTCTTGTACAGTGCCGTATAACCCTTGATATTCCTCAAACAAATTCTCAAAAAAAGTTACAGCATTATCTCTTTCTTTTTTCCATTCTACTAAATGACTGTAGTAATAACTATTTTCATCTAAAAAACAAGTGTAGTAATACTCAATTAAAATTTTATAATTTTCAATCTTAAAGCGTGGATCACAAATAA